GAGAGAGAGAGAGAGAGAAATATGGGAAAACCCTAGAATCTACTATGGCCCTGCATTCACAATGAGAGAATTTACAGAGGTAGGGGAAAGAAAGGAGAGAAAACCCTGATGTCCTCTGGCAGTCTGGAATTCACAAGAAAAGACAAGATAAAAAGGGGAAAAGGAAGAGTAGCCTCATTCACACACTCAAAAGGAGCTCTAATCTTCATCTCGAGGCAACTTTGACGTACAATCCATAGAATCCTGAGATCAAGTGGAAAGAGCCAAAACAGACTCTTCCCCCACAGGATTACATGTTATGCACTTATACTCCAATCCTTTAATACGTAATCTACTATATCAGCAGACAATAGCGCCAGATATTAAGGACAGACTAATAGACTGTTATATGACCCCAACACTATCCATCTGTGATGCCATGCCTTTTGTAGGGACCACATTACATCACCTAAAGCTGCCTACATCTATCACATAATTGAAAGTTGTGAATTCATAATTACTTTCAAGGTTTGGGTCTGATTTTCATTAATTGTTATGTTATATTATGTTCAGAGGATTAAAGATTTAAAACCAAGGTTTGGGTCTGATTTTCATTAATTGTTATGTTATATTGTGTTCTGATGATTAAAGATTTAAAACCAAGATCTTAAGCAGTTAGCTATGCGATTTCTGTTATGCATGTTCCTCTCCTAGCAATTCCTGATTTGTGTAAAATAGGCCTATGCTTTTTGGACAACTTGGCACTAACTATTTAGGTCTTGTTCTCGTTAATCATCCTCTAGTGAGTTCTAGCTGGATCAATTCTCGAATTAGCTCTTTCGAGCGTTAGCAAGAAAGCCATGCCTGGGTTTTGCCACCACTTAAACTAATAAGAAGACCATGCATCTGTTCTTTACAGGCCATGAATCAACAATATCTCATTTGGCACCACTGTAGAAGTGAACTAGTAAAAAAAAAAAAAGTGAAATACAATAACTATAACTTCATTGCGACATAAATAATCTTATAAATAGATTAAGTCCTCTCCTGGTGAATTTGATGACTTTGAGGATCAACAATGCCTAAAAAAGAAAATGGATTGAAGAACTGATAAAATTGTCAAGATACTACATCGTAATGGAAGATACCATCTATTGGAGAAGTTAAACCTGATTTGTGTCCGGACAAGCTTGGAACTAATAAATAATAGTTTTTTGTTTTCAAATATAGAGCCACATAACTCTTTTTGCTGATTGATCAGTTGCTGTTGTTTTTAAGTCATTAACTAATGCGGCTACTTTTGAACCTATTTTCATGGTAAGTTGCTCTTGTGCTTATTCCTACTTCATTGTATGTTTCCTCTAGGTGGACAGAGGTGTTACTCTAAGTGAAGCTCTCCTTAGGCATGATAAATGGCTTGAGAAGAAAGGGATAAAAACTACCAACTTTGCCGTTGTTACATGGTCAAACTGGGACTGTCGGGTGATGTTGGAATCAGAATGCAGATACAAAAAGATACGAAAGCCTCCTTATTTTAACAGGTAAATTACGAGCAAGTTAACCAGAATTGTTAATGTAACAATTAAGTTTACTCTTGCTATAAAAGTTTAGGTTGATACTGAATCACTCCCATGTCATTCACATTAATTTAATGCTGGTTGGCCAGGTGGATCAACTTAAAAGTTCCTTTCAGCGAGGTTTTCAGTGGTGTTAGGTGCAATCTAAAGGAGGCGGTCCAGATGGCTGGCCTGGCATGGCAGGGCCGTGCTCACTGTGGTTTGGATGATGCTAAAAATACAGCCCGCCTACTTGCCCTTCTTATGCGCAAGGGCTTCAAGTTCTCAATTACAAATTCGATGTTTCATCAGTGTACCGATCAATCCTTGACAGGGAAGCAGCCCCAAGAACACCTGCAATTTCCCCTTTATCAACCTCACAAACTGAAGGATCTGCATGTTCCCATAATCCAATTCCACCCTCATTGTTACTGTGGAGTGAACAGCAGCAAAGGGATGGTTCGGAAACCAGGTCCAAAGCAAGGTAGCCTCTTCTTTGGTTGTGGGAACTGGACTGCTGCTAGAGGTGCCCGTTGCCATTACTTTGAATGGGCTTCTTCTTGACTTAAAAAGTTAAAAGAAGTAATGACTTATTTATCTTTCATGAGTCATGACATAGCCTAAGCGTTGGTTATCCTCTGTAAAAAAAAAAAAAAAAGTCATAAAGAGTCAGTTGTCTGCTATAGGAAGCAAATATGCCTTTGCTTGGTGAGGTTCCTGCTTCCACAAAGTAAATATGGATAGATGGCTGAAAAAATGCCTGCTTAATGCATTATAGTGATCTGGTAGGGAAGGGTAGATCCATCCTGTTTTTTCTTGTTGACAGAAGATTGGACAATGGCATGCGATGAATGTGTATTTCGGAGGATGCTTTCAAATGGCTCGCTCAGACATGTTTAGTCATCTTAAATAAACTGTGAAATAGGGAACATTGCTCCCCGGATTGTTTGGATTGAATGGAATTGCTTGACCCCGGCATGCTGCCTTTCAATATTGTATTTTGCACCCGTCTTTCGGTTTTTATATTTTTTTTAAATTAGAAGTCCTAATGTTGTTGCAGTAAAGGATAATTTGGTTGCTGAATAAATAACAGTGGATGGATAAGAATTTCTGAAACACTCAACCAATGCTTCTTTCTCAGAGAAGACAATAATGCGGTTTAGGTATACCTAGAACAATAACCTCTCTCTCTCTCTCTCTCTCGTACAAAAATTTGATGACCTTTTTATTCTTGAAAAAAATATTGCCTAAACCGTTGTGGTCAAAAGGAATGGAAATTAAATTGGGAAGAAATACTTGATTGTAAGTTGGATGAACTCGTCACTTTAGGTTCACAATATAATTCTAAGTGATAGGATGTGGACTTTTGTAAGTGTTTTTGTATTTTTCCGGCCACTTCGTTTTGAAAATTAGGTTTGATTTTGAAAATTAAAAATTGGTGTTTTCAAAAACATATAAGACTAGAAACACAAAGGGACGTGGGGGGACTTTAATGAGATCTACTCTCGAGTTTCGGTACAGGCATAAAATCCCATAGTCTCGGCCAACTATCAAAGGCCAAAATCCCCCCCCAAAAGCCCACTGTTTAGTCATCTTCTCTTCCAAACTCTCTTTCAAGCTGCTTCTCTCATTATTCTTCTTCTCCATTGGTCCCAAATATGCAGGTGTGAAATCCTACCATTCCAAAGGTGCGAAAAGAGCAGATATTTTCTCTCAATTTATGTGTATATATGTGATGGATTTTGGGGGAAGGAAAATTAAATGTGAATGATTTTTGAGAAGGATATTGATAACCGTCGAATGAGTCTATTTGAAACCGTCGGATAGATTTATTAAAGTCTGTCATATTATATATTATAAAAATGGATGTACAGGGTTAGAACTGTGTAGCTGTAGATTGTTAATACCTTTATTTGTGTAGATATAGATTGTTAATGCCTTGATTTGTGTTCATGGATATGCATACTGTATATCTGGTTTTTATGGCTTGTGTGTGTGTGCATGAGTGATGGGTCACATTTTTTGGCAGTAAGGCTCTTAAAGGTTTTTTTGGTGTTAATATAGATGCTAAAAGCATGTAAGAGAATAGGTTGAACTTGATTAAAATCATGCTTCTAAGTGGTGTACTATTGCAACTTACAAATGGTGGAGACATCCCAAACATAGGTAAGTCTTTCTCGATGTAAATTCTTCGACATCTATTGCTCTTTTATCAATGAAGTTCATAGTGCTCCCTAACCTTGATGCTCGTGGTTGTTAAGTGATGTTGCATTATACAAACTTAGGATCGAGATATTGTGTTATGTGTTGTACTGCCAAAATCTTACAGTTATAGCAACTATAAAGTCGGTGTAATCAAAGTGAGTGAAACATTTACAATTGGATGTATGGGTATGTTTATACTAGTAACCTTGGGCTTATAACATGAGTTGAGCCCTTAGGTCCGACCCATCAAATAGTGTCATGTGATATATATATATATATGGCCAGACCACATACATGTATCATATTAAACTGTGGATAATTGTGAAAGAATAAAATAAGTAGATTTCATTTCTTCGATCTTCTTACTAGCCAACATTCAATATGTATTTTTCTTGGTAAATTATTCTTTATTGAATTTTTTTTTCATGTTCTACACAATTAGTTTCAACAAGATACATGATTGCATGATCTATCTATCAAAGAAACACCATCTAAACCAACCATTCCCTCCCTCTCTGTGAATGAACATGTGTTATTTGTCGAATCGACTTAAGCCAAGAACAAAAGTTACTCTTCTCATTGAGGGCTACACAACCATACCAAAAAACACTGATTTAGATGAAGTTCCAGAGACAAGGCTTTGAGAAATCAAGGATTTGGGCTGGAATGAGATTCTTGAAAGTTTCTACAAGGTGTTTTAAGCTTCAAGAGGTAGGGTTTTCTCCCTAATTAAGTTTATTTCCAACTAAGGGTGATTATATGGAATGGTTAGGTTGTTAGAAGTATATAACACTTTTACCTATTGTTGTTAATTTGATCAAATGAGTATTGAAAATAGGTAAAATCAATTCTAACATGAATTGGTATTTAGAAATTGCTAACTTGTAATTTATTAAAAAATTGTGATATGTGGACATGCTATTTGTTTATATTATGCCTTGGAGAATTAAGTGTGTTATTTGCATGAGATTATGTGATAACATGCTTAGAAATTGTTGTTGGGTATAATGTTGATATATGCTTAGTGATGTATTGACATTAAGATGATTTTTAGTAATTATATGTATATGGTATAATTGATCATGAAATATGTTGCAATGTGATTGAAATTGTTCATATGACACTCATAACATATTGAACATGAAATTAGTATTGTAATTATACATTTACATTACATAAACACAGGAAATATCACATTCGTGGACATTAATATGAGTGTGGGTGTGTGTGTATGGTTTGATCAAACACTATTCTTGGTGGATGATGCATGGGCTCGAGATAATTGGGTTGATGGTTCAACTAAGTTGCATGGTTTACATTGAAAATAGGGTCGGGGTTAGTAAGAAGGGCTATATTGTCCCTTGAATGCAAGACCCGACGATTAGATATGCACTCTATTGGTATAGAATTCATAAAGTGTATCGGCGTATACGGAGCCGTTGGTGGAAGTCCATTAATACCGTGTCAGTTGGGTGCCCGTTGGTATGAGTCCATAAATACCCACCCTAAGAAAGACCCAAGATTTTTAAATGGTTATTGGATGTGAAACATCAATGGCAGAGGCTTGGAATGTCCAGATTCATACGCATGGCGTTGCATGTGTTGAGGGAGCCGATAAATGCTCGGATTGAGTTTTATGTGTGAGTATCATCTCATATCANGTCCAACTATCAAAGGCCAAAATCTCCCCCCAAAAGCCCACTGTTTAGTCGTCTTCTCTCTTCCAAACTCTCTTTCAAGCTGCTTCTCTCATTATTCTTCTTCTCCATTGGTCCCAAATATGCAGGTGTGAAATCCTACCATTCCAAAGNGCATGTGAATCTTTCATATGCATCTAAGTTGGATAGTAGTCTCTTTAGGAGATACCTTATTGAGCGTGACTCACCCTTTATGCGGACAACATTTCAGGTGCGGGACATGCGTCGGTGGACGGCTCACAATCGGGCCCTCATTGATGAAGAAAAATCGAGATGTGACTTTTGAAACATATTTTATAAAAATTATTATATTATTTAGTGTTGAACATATAATATTGTAAATGATTGTAAAGAGAACTCATACGAACTATATTTTTGTTTAAAACGATGTTATATAAGTTTGGGTTGGCATTGTACAAGGTTGGAATTGAAAAATGAAGAAATCGCAGGAAAATTGATAAGACCTAATGGTAGAACAATGAGTTCTTCTACCGGTAGAACTTTTCTAGTAGGCTAAACTTACCGGTAAAACTTCAAATATTGCGATAGAATTTGTACATCTTCTACCGGTAGGTTTTGTTAAAATCTCAAATATTAAGAATGCTTTACTATGCTTCCGGGCCTTGAGTCATTTTATTCAAATAATGTAAATGGAAAGTAATTGAGTATGAATTGTGGTATATTGGATATCGAATGTGTCATATCCTGACCCGATCCTTGAGTATCTAGTAGTTATAACATAGAGTTTTATATTGTGAATATTTTTAAATTTGAACTATTATGTTGAAAGGTCTCTTCAATATAAAATGTTAGTAAATAATTAATTAAATAATAATTTTTAAAAGAGAGTTTTTGAAGAATCTAAAAGAATCTAAAAAATTCTAGAACAATCTAGAAAAGTTTAAAATATTTTAGAAGGTTCTAAGAAATATTAGAAGGTTCTAGAGGGATTTAGAATATTCCGAAAGGACTTAGAAGGTTAGAAAAGACTTTAGAATATCATAGATGAATCTAGATACTTGTGAAATTGACATGTGCAAAATAAGCTTGAAATCTAGAGGATCTAGGAAATGAGAGATGATAGAATATTTTAGAGAATCTTCTATAAAAATGTCACATGTCAATATTCTCTAGAATAATCCTAGGATATCTATAAATAGGACATTTGAGGATTGAATTAAGCATACAAGTGCACAAGTAGTCTTCCACTTTTAAGAAATAATAGAGAGAGAAGAAGGAAGGAAGAACACCTCATCAAATGAGAAAGGAAATTGTGAGAGAAAGAAGAAAGACGTCGATAATATCTCATTCTACTTCGGGTAACAAGCAACACTCAAGAAACATATCATTTGGACTTGAGGTGAGTGATTTGGTATGCTACGTATCCTCAAAAATTCCCTGTATCCCTAAACATTTTAAAAATAATACATTATGCTTGTTCATTACTACCTTTACAAAATATTTTACTAAGTGTTTAAATACTCTTGGCATACGATTCNTTTATTCTTGAAAAAAATATTGCCTAAACCGTTGTGGTCAAAAGGAATGGAAATTAAATTGGGAAGAAATACTTGATTGTAAGTTGGATGAACTCGTCACTTTAGGTTCACAATATAATTCTAAGTGATAGGATGTGGATTTTTGTAAGTGTTTTTGTATTTT